ATGAAAGCAGCTGATTTTAACTCAGAGAACATAAAAAATAATGTAATTATTCATTGTACATGAGGTATTTTTAGGTCGCTGAAGAGAGGCACAGATACAATGTAATGTGTCTTTACTTGTTTCCGACTAGTATGGGCTTTCGTAACAAGAAACTGGAATCTTACATGACGAATGCAAGCCTAACATAAACAGCAACGATGTACCCTTTCATACACATCGCGTTTTGTTTCAATAGTTACCTGGTGAGTTTCGTTATAGTCAATGTCGTAATCTATTTTGGGAAACACATAAAGGGTCCGCGTGACTTCTCTACACAAAAGTGTTAGTTACACTTTTCAAAACTATGAAGGTTGTAATAATCGTGTCTGGGCAATAGCATCTTAGTTCGTTATTGCAACTTCGTATACTCTACCCACTTGGTTGGTTGTTTGGTTGGTTGTTGGTTGAAAGTTTTGCGCCTACATGAATCCACCCTTACGGGTTTCATATCACTGACGGACGTCGGTGTTCTGTCGGCGTGAGGGAAGTTGCCTCCCCTCAAGGGGTGGGTAGGAGTCGTCTATTCTATATCCTATTTTGATGAAATTTTGAGACGACTCCTTGGTCCGAATTAGTTTGTCGCCCCGGTTGATGCAACTTTGGCTGTTGTTCCTAACTAGTGTTTTTGTATCGTTGGGGGAGGTTAATAATTGACCAAGATGGTTTGTAATAATGTATATACTATGTACATATTTTTTTTTTTTTTTTTTTTTTTTTTTAAATTTTTTTTTTTTTTTTTTTTTTTTTTTTAAATTATTGTATATATTCTTGTTCTTATAGGGAAGTTTATATATTATATTTGTTATGTTCCTCGGGTCTCTTACTTCCGGTTGTGCCCGACAGTAGAGAAACGCCTCTGCTTCCGTTAGGTACAATTTCTTTTGTCAGTTTTTACATGAACTATTATTTTATAAAAAGATGTGGAGGTCACTGGTCGTATCATATCATGATGTCGTATATGGCGTGGATATAGGAGGAGGGCGTACCATGTCCAGGCTGTCCTTTAGTTATAGCCTTCTCTATTTTGTGTTTTGTTTTGTTCCTATATTTGGAAGTCCGTCGGATCGTCTTGAAAATGTTATCTAATCTAGCCCTATCCACTGTGCCAGCGTTAATGCGTCTACTCTTTTGACAATACACAGACGGATTTTTTACGAGCAGGTTGGACCCTCCTACACGGGACACCGTGCATAGTCCCCTCCGCCGGACTGTGTGTTATTGGTGAATGGTTAGTGTCATGCAGGTGCTAATTAACCTTGATTTGTGGCGTCCTTTCTTGAAACTGTATCCAGTCTTTGGACACAATGGAAAACTTTCCTTAATACCAATGTTCTCGTTCATATAAAACTTGTCCTTGGCTTTCGTCTGTAACTGTTCATTGTTCTGACTTTTATAATTATGTTTGTGAGTATTCCAGAAGCACAGCTGGCCTTCTCCTCATACCTGCGTCAACTTAACTTAAGTCACGCCGATGGGACAAGAAGACTTAATTGCATGATTCTTTAAACAGTTCATGGAAGCAGAATTATATTTGAGGAAAATGAAAGGGATAATTAATTTATTTCCTTAGAAAAGAGTTGGGATCGCTGTGGAATCGGCGAACAGATCTATTGATCGAAACTCCCCGCCTGAGGTCGGAACAAAGACGTTGCAGCGTTCTATCTACCCACCTCAACATATATGTATAAATACGTGTGTGTTTTGTTTCGGAGGCTTGTGTCTAATCATACGTGTACCTACTACCTGTATACGGGACTGTTAGGCTCTGTGTAGCGTTTTAGCTTTTGACGATATTTGACTAGGGATATGTGGCCAGTGTGGTGTATCTATGTGAGATACATATATGTAGTAAAACGTGTTTACCGTTGTGGTCTCATGTAGCTGCATTTATGCGGTTATGTGAATAAAGGAGGTGTTGCATAGAAGGTGAAAATCGGCCCACGATAAATTTGGGATGTTTTAATGTGAACTAATTAACTTGAACAATTTACGTACTAAAACAACGCTTAAGCTTCCACTGGACCACAAGTTTTACTGCAGCGCCCCCTACACTAAAGTTAAAAAATTGTACCTCCCCATGTGCCTTTAATGAGATCAATGTGGCCATTACAAAAACATAATTGCAATCTGATTCATATTTAAGTAATATATACAAATTACCATAAACATGTAAATCTGATCCCAAAAAGTGACTTTTCAATTTTGGGCTTTTTTGTTTTTTTAGGAGTATTAACAAGATAAAACTCGCATTCCATCAAATTTCCACACATACAATTTTCTTCAACAATTCACCTTTCTAACATATAAAACTTGTGATGTGGTTCACTGGATATGCCCACTTTTTTCACATTTTCGTTAGCCCCTTGGTTTTAATCAAGAATCAAAGTACTGAGAATACTAAATGAGTTATGTAATCTGATCATGAAAACGTTTTGCACGGCGATCAGCAATCCAGTATTGATGAATTGATTGGAATAAATTAAAAACAACCGTTTATGTTTATGTACATGGAATGTGACTTTAGCGCCACAAATTTAGGTATTTTCATTGAAAATTCATCATTATCGATTCAAATTTTAATCCTGTTTTCATTGATTTCAGAAATACTTTTTCATATGTCCTAAAGTACGCATATGCTATGTACTGCATAGTTTTTTCGCATGAAAACCCACAATAACTGCATGATACACTTTTGTTTATTAAAGTAATAATTCATATTTTATAATGAATTACATAACCGATATATTTTTGCTGTAGACAAATCGCATGACCCGACGCATTATTTGTATCACTTAATTATCCTTATAGAATCCTTGGAGAACTGGAATGTATATAATGCAGTATTCACATCGATATCATACACATAAGGAATAAGCGACAAAAATATGTATTGGCATGGCCAACAGACACAAAATATACAGCTTATACAGTAAATGTTTGTGGGGAAATAAACAAAACCTAATGCAATCTTTGTCATTATGCTGCTTATAAAATTATTATTGAATATTGAGTTTTAAATATCCCCTTGGCCTTACAATTCTTGAAAAATAGGTCTTAATTTCTGAACCTATATCAACTCTGTGGTTATAAAACGATGTGAAGGTCATTATTTGCACGATAACCTGTCATTCATACTAGCTACTATTTAAATCATAACACTGTGCTTTAAACCTGTCACCTTGAATGGCGACCCTGTATTCAAAATTTAAAAAATCCATAAAGGATCAAATGCGGTATGCCCCGTTATCTGCCCCAATATTC